AATCAGAAAGTCAGTTTATTAGCACAAACGGTTCAATTGCCCTTGCCGTTTGGCTGGAAACCTGTACGGTTATGTCACTGGAATGCACTAAATCACCCAAAAAAATATCCCCGCCACCCGCGTACTATTAAATGGATCTAACTCTTTGAACGTACAATTAGTGTTGTGAAGCAGAAAGTTCAGTTTAATTGTACACAATCGGTCAATTGCAGCTTGCCAAAATTTGGCTGGAACATGCCCACTGTACTTTTGTGTCACTGAAGCACTAATCACCCAAAAAATATTACCGCCATAGCCGGCGTGTAAATGGATTTACACTCTTTGAACGTACAATAGTGGTTGAAGCAGAAAGTCAGTTTATTTTGCACAATATCGACAAACTGCAGCAAACCAAATGTGCTAAAGCCACCAAAAAAAAAAAAGGGTGTATGTCACTTTAAATTTTCGATTCTTTGATAGCTGTGTCCCTGAGTAACGATTCTGTGTCCCTGAGTAACGATTCTGTGTCCCTGATACGATAATCTGAGTGCGAGCCCTGATTAACGATTCTGTGGCCCTAAAGTCCTCTGTTGGCCCTAACTCTGTCCCTTAATACAGACAGGTTCTGTCTTTCCTTGAATGACCGATTCCTAATGGAGTATCTTTTAAATTCTAAGATGGCCGCGATTATATAGCTTTTTCTGTATCCCGCCATTACACAGTGCTGCGTCAACTGCTGCTGATTGGCTAAATGCGATCACATGTCATGAATTCAATAGACTACATGAATGCATTTTGGGTAGCGCGCCTTGTCTTTTGCCTTCCCAGAGATCCCCCGCCCCATCTTCTCTGTCATTTTTCTCCTGTCGCCACACAAGCCATTTTTGAAAATTCGATTCGTGCATCCGAAGTTGCTAATCTTAGGATTCGTCGCGAATCGAATTTTTCCAAATCTTCGGAAGAATTCCACTTCGTCATGTTTCGATTCGCTCATCTCTAGCCATTATGAAAAGGTTGCGAGTTACGTAGCTGTGCGGTCCAGACTCGATCGCAAGTGATAAAAGTATTTAGTCCGTGCGTGAGTCTGTGGGAGGCGATTTTGCATTGAAGTCTACGGGAGGTGGCTTTGCATTGAAGTCTACCGGAGGCGACTTTGCATTGAAGTCGCCGGGAGGCAGTTTGCATTGAAGTCTACGGGAGGCGGCTTTGCATTGAAGTCTACGGGAGGCGGCTTTGCATTGAAGTCTACGGAGGCGGCTTTGCATTGAAGTCTACGGGAGACGGCTCTGCATTGAAGTCTACGGGAGGTGGCTTTGCATCGAAGTCTACGGGAGACGACTTTGCATTGAAGTGTATGGGAGGCAGTGTGTGAACCCAGGTGCCAACATGCAATTGCTAGTCGCCATGGCGACCTGGCACCTTGGATTCATTGATCCCTGACATACAGTAAGTGTGGCACTTACTGGTCCTAGTATTTTCTAAATATACCACATTTAAATATATGTATGGTAGAATGTATAACTTGGATTCTAACATGTTTAAATAAATTGCCAGCTTCTTTCATACATTTGGGACCCAAGTGGCTAGCTCTCTTCCCAGGGATTTCTTGCTTCTCTTATACTTCAAGAAAGAGATTTGGAGATTTGCATCCTGGAGAGATAAAATACAGAGCCTTCTAGTTTACGTTTCCCAGAGTCGATTTTGAGTGGATTTACCCTCTAGGGGTTTTTAGTAGTTTACCTGAGGAATTGCGCAGCCCCTTGTAAACCTAATAATAAATTAGAACAACATAGGGTTGTTAAAGTTTTTTGAAAAAACTACTTGTCAAGGGATCAAAGTGCGCCGTGTGGTGGCAATCGGGCAGCAGCGCTACCGCCTGAATGCTTCCAGCTGACAGGTGCGCCCTGCTGCTTGCCCACAGCAGGGCTAAAGGCAAAGAACAAACTACCTGCCCGGCGCCCGGAACTACATGTCCCGGGTGTCAGGTGATATGAATTGCACATCCCCGTAACAGCATCAACAGCAGCAGAAGTACTTGCTGATCAATGTTATCTCTCACCTATGTGTGATAAATTAGTACAAGCTGATACTTTTGAGTGCTTTTATAACTTTTGAAAGGACAGATTGGATGGATCAAGGCTGCTAATTATACTGTATGCAGCAAATGGTCTTGTGTTTATTTTTATATTTTCTTATAGCTTAATAAAGGGGTGCTCAACCTGTGGCCCCTGGAGCCCTATGATGTGGCCCGCAACCTCAAACCAGGGAAGCGCTTGTATGGGGTCGGCAACCCATTGTTTGTGACTGGGCTTGCCGAACCCCCATCCCAGACCATCAGAGTGAATCGAGCCAGCACTGGCAGCGGAGGAAGCAGGCGGCCACAGAGGGATTAGGAGCACCATAAGCCGATGCTTCCTCTGTAGCGCGGCTCTTGTCCTAGGTGGAGTGATACCAAGTGCACGTCACCTGGGATCTTTCTAGCAGCCTGGAGAGTGATGCCAGCAGAAGCAAAAGGTAGTCAGTGTAATAGGCAACACATACATTGCACTTTTGCAATGGGCATCTTAGCACCTATAAAAGGGTTAACAACTACTAGGCTGTATTCACACTTATCTGCAGGTGCAGTGCAGTGCACCCGCAGCTTTCCTGTGGGTTAGCTGCACTGAGCCATAGACTTCTATTATATCCTGCGGGGTTTGCTGCACTGAGCCTGCGTATTTGTTTGTGTGCACCAAAACTCCTGAATGCAGAAGTTTCAGAAAGTGCACCACACATGTAAGATATAATAGAAGTCTATAGCAAAGCGAAGCTAGCCCACAGGAAAGCTGCAGAGACACTGTGCTGCACTCAGGGAGCCAAGTAAACCACAGCACATTAGTGTAAAAGCAGCCTTATAGGGGACTCGGGATAGTAAGGGCTTGTTTACATTTATGGTTTGGGGGGTGGTAAAACTCCATAGTAGAGACATTTTTTTTACCACACCCCCAACCACTGGTGTAGCGCCAAGGGTCTCAATTGCAACCCTGTCACATGTTCCAGCGGGCCCATGCATCCTCCCTGTCACATTCTGTTTTACACTTGGACAGGAGGGGTGGTGGGGCCGGCATATACAGGAACTGGTCTTCTCCCTTTTCCTGCTGCAGCTACTGAAAGCCAGCTTCCCCTTCTCTCCTTCCCACCAGCATTTAGCAGCTGCAGAAGGAAAATATTGATTATGCTGTTCAAAATAACATTTGAAATTTGGAACCATTTAATTGAATGTGTGCCCTGCAAATGGTTATCAAATCACTTAAAAGACAAGTAGGGATTTTTTCCCCCCATTTATACCTATACAGGTGGGATCAATGCGGCATCTATCGCCCATTGGCTCTCAGGGTAAGAACTCAGCGATCACATGATTGCTGATTTCTCCTCTTCGCTCTGTCAGTCATCTCTCTCTGGAACAGGAAACAGTTAGTTTAGGCTCTCATCGCTTCACTGAGCCAGGTGCTGCACCAGACTCTGGGGTGGATCCCTACTTTAAAGTCGGGATCTTTCCCCAGGCTGGACCAGCTGATGATGCCAGCAAACAGCGGGCTTTAGCCCGCTGTCAACTGAAAATGGATCACAGGAGTGCAGAATGAACTTTGTACTTCTCCTTTAAGTGGCCTTCCCTCTTCAAAAGGTTGAGCACCTGTGGCTTAATGTGTTTACTTTAGAAAGTAATACCACTGGCAATCCTGTATTGCTTGATAACATCATGGTATAATATGGAGGCCCTTATTTCTTTATTGGCTATAGAAGCTGGTCCTTATCTGCATACCCAGGCTACCTGAAATTGAGGGCTGCAGAGGTGCTCAAAAGGATAAGTAAACGTATATGTAGACTGCTTTTAAAACTTTGTTGTGTCCCTGAACTACTCTTAAAGCAGCTTGGGCTTTTCAGAATATTAGGATTTCCTCATAATATAAATACAAAATATGCTAAGATAGCAATTTTTGAAGGAAATATAAAATTCCAAATGCGTATTTGGTTTCATAGTTCATGTCAAGTAGCACTGCAATATGGTCAAATAGCAGAAATTCTTTGAATGCCAAATACTTGGATTTGTACTTTAGCAGTAAAAAAGTGTGCAGTATACAGCCATCTGCTTTGAGTTAAAGTGACCCTGCTGGTAAAAGGGAGTACTCATCTGCCATGAACACTTCTTTGGCCAAAACAAATAATATGGTATTATCTGGTTTTGGTAGTTTACTGGTCTCCTAGACGTGATAAACATCTGATTTGGTTTTTCACACTGCCAAATGAACCTCCATCAGTGTTGCACATTCATGTTGATGATATGGCTGTTCCCAAGGACTAACCTTACTTGTATGAAAAAGTATCCTGTTCTCTTTGAATTGTTTCCTTTGTGTGAAATCCCTGGTTCTCCGGAAAGTCCTTCTGCTTTCCTATTAAAAAGTGACCACAGTTGGCATGAGAGCACAGTATGGTCAGTTTTCTAGCTGTACAGGGAACTCAGCCTGCTCTCCTCAAATGATCAGATTTCTGTTGACACACCCTCCTGGCACAGCCATTCGCTGGGAAGATCAGTTTGCTGCTTCTCCTTGCTTTTTTGCAGATGAGAACAGAGGGAATGTGATCATTTATGAAAAAGGTGAAAAAAGTATTACCGTATTTTTCGCCGTATAAGACGCACTTTTTCTTCCCCAAAACTGGGGGGGGGGGGAAATGTCAGTGCGTCTTATGGAGCGAATATGGAGTGGCCGGTCCGGTATTTCCACCGTGGCCGTGTCAGAATACCGGGCCGGCCGCTCAGCTCTGCAGCGGGACCTTACCTGTTCCTCTATCCAGCGGCGTGCTGTCTTCCCGGCTTCTGTAGTGTGGGCACTGGGCATGACAGCCGGGTGCCAAGTGCGCATGCGCAAGAAGCGGTGCTTTTTGTGAATGGTAAGGCGGTACCTGGGACACATGACAGATCCCAGAAGCCGCCGGACCAATCACAAAGCGCAAGTGCTTCTCGCTCATGCGCACTGGGCACCCGGCTGTCATGCCGAGCGCCATTACAGAAGCCGGGAAGACAGCGCGTGGCTGGATCGAGGAACAGGTAAGATCAAACAAAAACTCTGCGGAAGTAAGAGCGGGTACCTGTCAAATTCAGGTACCCGGCCCCACCTCCCCAAAGGTCAGCAGTCATCTGTACTGTCGCAGTCTCTGGTCATCCCTGTGCTGTCCGCAGTCTCTGGTCATCCCTGTGCTGTCCGCAGTCTCTGGTCATCTCCTGTACTGTGTCTGCAGTCCATTAGTTCAGAATTTTTTTTTTTTTCCTGTTTTCTGCCTCTAAAACCTAGGTGCATCTTATGGTCAGGTGCTTATATGGCAAAAAATACGGTAGTAATGCTTTTATATGGGCACAAATGTTTTGCCTTTCATTTCTATTTTAAACTTAATGAGTTGTTTTACAAGGTGAGGGTTTACAATCACTTTACATTGGTGGCATGCTAAAATCTTGTAACTGTGTAAATGTAGTGTTTGCAGATGCGGAAACAGTAAAAGCTGTACATACAGTCCTACAACTGGGCCATATTGTTGACTGCTTGTTTTTACCGATAAGCAGTACTGTTCTTTTACGACAAAGTAAGATACCCTGCCTATTTTATAATTAATTTCCCGTAAGCCGCTGAAAAGTGATTAAAAGGTCAAATCTGGGCTAAGCCTTTCACACGAATGGAATTTTATCCTGCAAAATATGTTTATGCATATGCCACTAATAATGATTGTCTTTGAACCACACACTTCAGTAACTGAGCTTAAAGTACACTTCAGTCAAAATCAAAGCTAAAAATGCTTAAAAGAACAACCTGCCTACTCAGGTTTTTCATACAGATGTTGTGTTGCTGCATAGATCTTTTCTACTTCCCCTAATAGGTAATCTGGTGATCTACAGAATCATTTGTGCTTGACTGATTTTAGTGAATTGGAGGTGCTCTTAATAACAGCCATTGTAGTCTCACTGCTCTCTTTCACAAAAAGGTATCCATATGCATCAGTGTCAGAACCAAATAGTTTGGCTAAACCACGTTAGATTTAGAAATACCGCAGTCGTTTCATTATGGCAATGCATCAGGCAGTGATAGGAAATAAAGTTCAATGGCTTTAGGAAGTAGACTACCCCACTGAACATGCCAGGAGCTCTATGAAATTCAGCTGCAGTGAATTTCACAAAATGCTGTTTAAGTAAAATTGAGTGTATTTTATTAAGCAGTTGCAGTGTTTGTTGGATAGTATTAGCATTTTATTGGATTTACATGCTGCCTGGAGCTACTGCTCAGAAAAGCTGTGAAATAATAGTTGGGATAACATTCTTCAATATGTATCATGGCTTTCACTTCTTGGAAAACTGTTGTAAGATAAGTGGGTATTTGAGTATTTGCCTGGGCGTTGCTGCTTTCAATGATGTCTCTGTATATTTAACCAGTGCCCACACTATGTACAGGTGAAACTCGAAAAATTAGAATATCGTGCACAAGTTAATTTATTTCAGTAATGTAACTTAAAAGGTGAAACTAATATATGAGATACTCATTACATGCAAAGCAAGATAGTTCAAGTCGTGATTTGTCATAATTGTGATGATTATGGCTTACAGGTCATGAAAACCCCAAATCCACAATCTCAGAAAATTAGAATATTATATGCAATCAATAAAACAAGAATTGTACATAGAACAATATCAGACCTCTGAAAAGTATAAGCATGCATATGTACTCAGTACGTGGTCTGGGCCCCTTTTGCAGCAATTACTGCCTCAATGCGGCTTGGCATGGAAGCTATCAGCCTGTGGCACTGCTGAGGTGTTATGGAAGACCAGGATGCTTCAATAGCGGCCTTCAGCTCTTCTGCATTGTTCGGTCTCATGTCTCTCATCTTTCTCTTGGCAATGCCCCATAGATTCTCTATGGGGTTCAGGTCAGGTGAGTTTGCTGGCCAATCAAGCACAGTAATCCCACGCTCATTGAACCAGGTTTTGGTGCTTTTGGCAGTGTGGGCAGGTGCCAAGTTCTGCTGGAAAAAGTCAGCATCCCCATAAAGCTTGTCTGTGGAAGGAAGCATGAAGTGCTCCAGAATTTCCTGGTAGACGGCTGCGTTGACCCTGGACTTAATGAAGCACAGTGGACCAACACCAGCAGATGACATGGCTCCCCAAATCAACACAGACTGTGGAAACTTCACACTGGACTTCAAGCATCTTGCAGTGTGTGCCTCTCCATTCTTCCTCCATACTCTGGGTCCTTGGTTTCCAAATGAGATGCAAAAGTTGCTCTCATCAGAAAAGAGGACTTTGGACCACTGAGCAACAGACCAGGTCTGTTTTTCTTTAGCCCAGGTAAGGCGCTTCTGACGTTGTTTGTTGTTCAGGATCGGCTTGACAAGAGGAATACGACATTTGAAGCCCATGTCCAGGATCTGTCTGTCTGTGGTGGCTCTTGACGCACTGACCCCAGACTCAGTCCACTCCTTGTGAAAGTCCCCAACACTTTTGAATGGCCTTTTCCTGACAATCCTCTCCAGGCTGCGGTCATCCCTGCTGCTTGTGCACCTTTTTCTTCCACACTTCTCCCTTCCACATAACTTTCTATTAATGTGCTTTGATACAGCACTTTGGGAACATCCAACGTCTTTTGCAATTACCTTTTGAGGCTTTCCCTCCTTATGGAGGGTGTCAATGATGGTTTTCTGCACAACTGTCAGGTCAGCAGTCTTTCCCATGATTGTGATTCCTACTGAACCAAACTGAGAGACCATTTAAAGGCTCAGGAACCCTTTGCAAGTATTATGGCTCAATTAGCTGATTATAGTGGGACACTTTGAGCCTAGAATATTGCACCTTTTCACAATATTCTAATTTTCTGAGATTGTGGATTTGGGGTTTTCATGAGCTGTAAGCCATAATCATCACAATTATGACAAATCACGGCTTGAACTCTCTTGCTTTGCATGTAATGAGTCTATCTCATATATTAGTTTCACCTTTTAAGTTGCATTACTGAAATAAATGAACTTTTGCACGATATTCTAATTTTTCAAGTTTCACCTGTATATGATGATTACACTCTCAGATCCCACCCTGTGCAGAGATTTGCAGCTCTGGGACAACATGCACTAGCAGACTGCAAGTAATCAAAACGGGTTGAGTTTAACTGAGCAGTTTAAAGCGGTAGTAAATTGCAAAAACTAAGCCCACAAAAAGTTCTCCTTGCAAGTTATGAGCATAAAGTGCTAGAATAAAAAAAATGGGATTTTACTACCACTTTTATCCTTTATGCACGCACATGCACGCACACGCACACTGTAGCCACCGCAGAAACGCGCACAGTATGCAGATTCTACTGTTGCAGTTCTATTTTTTTACAATAAATGTCTATATACCTGCTACCGCACAAATACAGGAATGTAACCAGCTTTACAATGCAGTAACTTTCTTTTAAAAAGGTGTATAGTTCATTAAAGTGCTACTAAACCCAAGACCCTGCTGATCACTCTATCTAGTCTCCCACAGTACACAGGACATAAAAATCAATTATATTAGTAAATATAAACTGCTAAATACCTTTTCTCATCAGCAGCATATAGCAGTCTTTGTGACTTCTATCCGTTTCCATCCGAGTACTGGGTAAAGCTTGTAGGAGGAGTTTTCATTCTCCACTCACTGCCCTATAAGATTGCATGACCCCTGACCCTCTGTCAGGACAGTGGTGATTGGCCCTATGCTGATCACATGCACTCTCCCAAGAAAAAAGAATAAACACTCTAGCAGTACACACCAAACTGAGCATGTGCAAAGTTTCCCCGAGGCTGTGTTTTATCAGGAGATGAAATGGGGAACATGGAAAAAGAGGAGGATCAGAGAAGACAGGATCAAACATCCTTTTTACACAATGCTGATGATTAACCCCTTAGGTTCCACAGTGAGTATAACAAGCATGCCTTACTGCATATACAGACTGATTTTACTGTTGTGGGTTTAGTAACAATTTTAAGGGATTGGCTCTGTCTGGGTAGTGCTGACTGACCCTGTGCCAACCACGTGTCCCCCCCCCCCCCCCCCCAAAAAAAAAAAGAAAAAAAAAACCCTCTAGCAATACACACCAAACTGAGCATGTGCAGAGTCCCTTCTTGGGATCTGTACTATCAGAAGATGGATTGGGGACAGTGAAAGAAGGGGAAGATCAGAGAAGACAGGATCAAACCCCTTAGGTTCCATGGTGAGTATTACAAGCAAGCTTTACTGGATATACAGGCTGATTTTACTGTTGTGGGTTTATTAACACTTTAATTTCTGATCTGAGCATTCAGTGATTCAGTTTAACAATTGTTAAATAACTTTTTAATGAAGGGAAAAAAGCTACAAAATAGATTATCGGCAACCGTAAAATAAACAAGAATAGAAGGCAACCAAAGACACTGTTTGCTTTGTCTTTGGTTCATCCTGGTGTCCAATTCTCATGCAGAGTGATGCCATTTTGATGTATAATTAGAATCACTAGCTCTCAGAAATGTGACTCTCTCAGTATCCATAATATTTCAGATGGCAAATGAGAGCCGTAGCTACCAGTTTTGAGAGAGTGTTACAGATCTAACATCCCAAGGGGCATTCTGAAGGGCCCTGGAGGTTATTTTAATAACAAGTTTATACTTACCATATTTTTTGCTCCATAAGATGCACTTTTTTCCCCCAAAAAAAGGGGGGAATATGTCAGTGCATCTTATGGAGCGAATATGGAGCGACCGGTTCGGTATTTCCACCGCCGCCGTGTCAGAATACCAGGCTGGCCGCTCAGCTCTGCAGCGGGACCTTACCTGTTCCTCTATCCAGCCGCGCTGTCTTCCCGGCTTCTGTAGTGTGGGCGCTCGGCTTGACAGCCGGGTGCCAAGTGTGCATGCGCAAGAAGCGGTGCTCTTTGTGAATGGTAAGGCGGTACCTGGGACACATGACAGGTCCCAGAAGCCGCCGGACCAATCACAAAACGCAGCGCTTCTCGCTCATGCGCACTGGGCACCCGGCTGTCAAGCCAAGCGCCCACACTACAGAAGCTGGGAAGACAGCGCGGCTGGATAGAGGAACAGGTAAGGTCAAAGAACAACTCCGCGGAAGTGGGAGCGGGTATCTGTCAAATTCAGGTACCCGCTCCCCCCCCTCCCCAAAGGTCCGCAGTCATCTCCTGTACTGTCCACAGTCTCTGGTCAGCTCCTGTACTGTCCACAGTCTCTGGTCATCTCCTGTACTGTCCACAGTCTCTGGTCAGCTCCTGTACTGTCCACAGTCTCTGGTCATCTCCTGTACTGTCCACAGTCTCTGGTCATCTCCTGTACTATGTCCGCAGTCTCTGGTCATCTCCTGTACTGTGTCCGCAGTCTCTGGTCATCTCCTGTACTGTGTCCGCAGTCTCTGGTCATCTCCTGTACTGTGTCCGCAGTCTCTGGTCATCTCCTGTACTGTGTCCGCAGTCTCTGGTCATCTCCTGTAGTATGTCTGCAGTCTCTGGTCATCTCCTGTACTATGTCCGCAGTCTCTGGTCATCTCCTGTTCTATGTCTGCAGTCTCTGGTCATCTCCTGTACTATGTCTGCAGTCTCTGGTCATCTCCTGTTCTATGTCTGCAGTCTCTGGTCATCTCCTGTACTATGTCTGCAGTCTCTGCTCATCTCCTGTTCTATGTCCGCAGTCTCTGGTCATCTCCTGTACTGTGTCCGCAGTCTCTGGTCATCTCCTGTACTGTGTCCGCAGTCTCTGGTCATCTCCTGTACTGTGTCCGCAGTCTCTGGTCATCTCCTGTACTGTGTCCGCAGTCTCTGGTCATCTCCTGTAGTATGTCTGCAGTCTCTGGTCATCTCCTGTACTATGTCCGCAGTCTCTGGTCCTCCTGTACTATGTCCGCAGTCTCTGGTCATCTCCTGTTCTATGTCTGCAGTCTCTGGTCATCTCCTGTACTATGTCTGCAGTCTCTGGTCATCTCCTGTTCTATGTCTGCAGTCTCTGGTCATCTCCTGTTCTATGTCTGCAGTCTCTGGTCATCTCCTGTACTATGTCTGCAGTCTCTGCTCATCTCCTGTTCTATGTCCGCAGTCTCTGGTCATCTCCTGTAGTATGTCTGCAGTCTCTGGTCATCTCCTGTACTATGTCTGCAGTCCATTAGTTCAGAATATTTTTTTTCTTGTTTTCAGGCTCTAAATTTTAGGTGCGTCTTATGGTCAGGTGTGTCTTATGAAGCGAAAAATATGGTAATTGCTCTGTGAAATGGAATTGCACAGAGTGCCCCAATCCTCCTCTTCTGAGGTCCCCTACTGGCCCTCTGGGGTTCTCCTCTTCTTAGTGTGCCAGCATAGGAAGCCGCTTCCTTTGGTGGCACACCTGAGGGCACACTCCCCAGTTGAGTTGTGTGCTTCTATGTACACTATTATTACAATCTATGTTAAAGTAAATCATTTTTTACTGCCTTTATGTTCTTAAAATAGGCAGGATGTTGTGAATACATCATAGTTTTCTTTAAAACATCATCATTATGAGTTAGAGTTGTAGAATATTAAATTATTATGTTCCAGTGAACCTGTCAGTCTTTTTTATATTTTAAAAGTAAGTTATGTCTGGAATCATTAAAGACATCACAGGATGTGAATATTATCTTTACCTCTCTTACCCCAGTTTTACTTTGTTAGTGTAGCACTGATTTCAGGGCTAACCCCTGTCCAAAAAGTGTCCTAGTGACTAGTAATGATACTTAAAGTGTTACTAAACCCAGGACCCAGCAGTCACTATATCTGGTCTCCCACAGTACACAGAACATGCAATTGTAATTATTTTAGTAAATATAAACTGCTAAATACCTTTTTTCATCAGCAGTTAGAGCAGTCTTGTGACTTCTATCAGTGTCCAGCTAAGCAATGGTTGAAGCTTGTAGGAGGAGTTTTCATTCCCGGCTCACTGCCCTATGAGATTGCAAGACCCTGACCTTCTGTCAGGATAGTGCTGATTGGCCCTGTGCTGATCACATGCAGTCTTCAAGAAAAAGAAGAAGTGGAAGTACACACCAAACTGAGCATGTGCAGAGTGTCCCCAAGGCTGTGTTCTAGATCAGAGGATAGGGTCAAACATCCTTTTTACACAATGCAGAGGATTAACCCCTTAGATTCCACAGTGAGTATTACAAGCATGCTGTACTGCATATACAGACTGATTTTACTGTTTTGGGTTTAGTAACAATTTAAGGGATTAGCTGTTGGCAGGGAATAGTAAGGGCTGGCTCACACCAGAACACAGTGCAAGAAACCCACGTTACGTGTGAGTTTCCTGCACCGTGTTCAAAATGCACCGCAGTTGCATTTGCAGCAGGTGTCAGTATTAAGTTAATGACACCCCAAAAGCAGGTCGCAAATGCAGTGTGTTTGCCCCCATCCTATCACATGTTACAGAAGTATCATGCAATGCGGTGCAGTGAATTTTCAAAAGAAGTGCATGCGCTACTTTTGGTGCAGTGCGATTTCAGCCTGTGAAAAATGAATGGGCTGAAATCTTACTGCATAGAACTGCATGTGAGTCCCACAGGAATGCACGGCGTGTTTCTGTGCCATTCCCAGTGTGAACTGGACCTCAAAGAAATCTTGCACCTGCTGATAAGGTGACACTATTTGCAGAAGCTGCACAGAAGAGGGTAAAGATACTTTGCTGTCACCTAGAATGTTTACTTCTAAGGGTCTATGCACAATGGGCTTAAAAAACTCCACTTCTACAGGAGTTTTGAGCTTTTTTTTGTAGAAGCAACTCATTGTTACCTTTATGTGTCCATGCACAATAAGGCCTCATGTACACAGGACACTTCTGAACGATGGAAACTGACTGCTGAAAAGCGTAGGTTAAAAAACATCTGTTTAGCCACATTTGCATAACGTGTTTATGGGCGTTTGCATTCAGAAGCGTTTTTTAAAAACAAGCACAGGAGAACCTCCCAAATGCCCAGAATGCACTGAAAAGTGGTAAATTATTAACTATTTCAGTCTGTTTCAGAGAAATACAGAGAGTAGAAGCAGAAACAGCAGTATGTGTTGAAATTAGCCTAGGTGTGAGTTGCTCATTAACATTTCTTTTGTTTCCCAGGGTGGGAAAGGTGTCTGGTAGGGTGAGTCATTAAGTGAGTCTGGTGGAGTGAGTCATCACCTGGCAGGGGGTCTTCATGAAGAATTTGAGGTGTGAATGGGCATTCACATATCTTTTGTTTCCAAGGGTGGGAGAGGTCTGAGGTGTGAATTGGTCATTACCATGTGTGACAAGCTTGGTAGGAACATCCTGTGTTCAGTGTTTTGTCCATCTGAGTACCTTGAAAACACTTTGCATACATTTTTCATGATGAAAAAAGGCTCTGGACAGCATTGGGAACTGGAAGAGTTAAAAAAAAAATTGCAAACGCTTATAAACGCGATTTGCCGCATTTACAGGCATTTTGTGTTTGAAACGCTGATAAAATCGATTGCCGAACTGTGTTCAAAAAAACAACTGTAAACTCAAATGCCTGTAAATGACTGTAAACAAAGATGTGTACATGGACACATAGGAAAACGTTAGGGTGAGATCAGGGGGCTGCTGAAAAAAATGCTGAACAGCTCCTAAACGTGAGTTTATCAGCTGCAGTGTACATGAGCCCTAAGACATTTAAAGGCATATTGTAGGCTCAGCATTTATAGGCTGAAAAAACCCTGCTGATTTGCATTTTTAAGAGGCATTTACTGGCAGAAATAAACACTAATGCAGGCCATATATGGATCGAATTCTGAACAAATTACCTTTTGTAAAATCGGAAATTTCATGCTTTTTTGTAATCCGATGGTGCCACCATTGATTTGAAAATTCGACCAAACAAGCCTTCAATTCACCTCATTGGTTTTTCACCTCATGTTGCCACAGAAATTAATTTTCGTGGCCAAGAATTTTCTTTTTTTCCAGGTCACAGCTCATGCTCGTTTCCTTTTCAATTACATTTCTCACATGATTCTCCCATCATTGATTAGAAATTTGTTTGTTTTTCAAAACATTTACCAATTTGTGCTCAATCACTCAAATTTGATGGTCACACAAAAATTGGCCATTTCTGTGACCCCACTAATGGTGCAAAATGCAAACGAAAATTCTTCGAAAAGATTTTTGAGTGTCAGACAGGTTCACTTTAGAGTAATTTTTTTCATTTGCAAAAAAAATAGGTATAGCTTTTTAACTGCTTCCTAGCCGCCCTATAGCAGAAGTACTGCAGGGATGCACAAAATCACGTATATATACGTGATTTGCATTTCCGGGCAGGGGGCGTGCGCGCGCTCCCTACCCACGCCGCTATTGGCTTCTTAGCATGTCAATTACTGAGTCCCGGACGCAGATTCTCAGCTGGGACTCGGTGCATGCCGGTGTAGCTGACGGGAGAGGTCTGTGTGTAAACAACACAGATATTTCCTCTGTCAGCACGAATAGGCTGCTTTGTATTGCTCTGTACAGCAGAGCAATACAAAGCAGCTTGTCTACATAGTAAAACACACACAGAACACCATGTAAAACAACACAGCACACAGTTAACCCTTTGATTGCCCCAGATGTTAACCCCTTCCTGCCTAGTGTCATTAGTACAGTGGCAGTGCTTTTTATTAGTACTGATTACTGTATTAGTGTCACTGGGGATGTCAGTGGCAGTTAGTTCCCTCCAGTGTCAGAATTCCCTCCGCAGTTCTGAAATAAGTCACTGATCGCCGCCGTTACTAGTAAAAATAAATATTCCAGTATGTATACCGCCATTTGTAGATGCTATAACTTTAACGTAAACCAATTAATTTACACTTATTGGGATATTTTTTAGCAAAGACATGTAACTGGCCTACATTTATGAAGAAATTTTATTCTTAAATTTTTTTACTGGACATGTTTTATAGCAAAAAGTAAAAAATATATATTTTTTTTTCAAAATTGTCTTTTTTTTGTTTATAGTG